GTCTCAAGCGGAATTTAGCCTGGGTAGCCGGACGGTACCCATAGTTATAATGGAAGCGTTTCGCCAGGATATGGTTCTGGAGTATATCAATATGCGTGCGCAGATTGACAGCTCCAAGGATTTTGACGGGATCAGCCGCCTTATTCCCATGGCTTTATCCATCCTACTCGATAGTAATGTTCCTATCTATTATACGACCCGGAAGGGATATTCCACTCCCCCGTTAGACCCTGTCATTCGAGGGAGCGATCAGGAAGGACTACCAATATACAGGTTCTCGAATACAATGCGGAATCGCCCAGACTAACCCGCGCGCATGGCTCCAAGATGTCCTAGGGACCTGTATATTCCCCTTTCTTTTGTTAACTGGGTGGTGCTCTCCAGAATTGACCTACCAAGACGTCGATAGAACGGCTTGTAGCGTCCTTGAACAGTGAAGTTGATCGTAAGAGTGACATGTTTCGGGCTTGTATTGCGACTCTCCTGGATTCATATCTTTGAGGAAGTCTTTATAGGGGGTATTTTGCACCGCATACCTTCCTATGCGTCAAATACCCAGGGATAAACCACTCAACACAACATATAATGGCTCGAAAATGCGCCGCTGAAGATCCGGTTCTCACAACTCCATGGTTAGTCTTCAAAGCCACCAGAGTTCTGCGATAGTAAAGTACTCGTCATGGACGACGACGTGCCAAGGGAGCTAGAGGAATTCTGGCACAAAGAGTATACCACTACGGAGCATATAAATCTCCAAACGATAACTACAACGGTGAACTGGACAGAACAGTGGTTGGTCCCCATCGAACGTGCCTTAAAAGCTCTAAAGAGCCCAGGGAGCCCAGGGAGCCCAGATAGCCCAGAGGAGGAAAACCTGATACTTCTTATCATTCGAATGGTTTCTAGCCTCCTTATGAATTACTTTCCGGAGGAGTATGGATGGAAGTGGGATACGGTGGCGGTGGAGGAGGAGAGGAAAGATGAATCTGTGTATCTTGTCGAATGCCACGACGGTAAAGACCCCACTGAGCATTTGCTAGTTTTAGTCTTGCCAGATGGTCCCCACGCACCCCACCTCATACATTCCATCCAGAGGTTCCAGAAGATCTGCCAGTCGCGATTTGGTATCACACCACAAGATGAAGAGTGGCCTGGTTTGGTGTGGGGGGCAATCTTCCAAAGTGCAAGAGCCCTCTTCTATCAGTATGAAAAGGGAGGAGAGATACGACCATTAGTTGACCCACGAGGTGAAAATGGAGCCATACTCCATACGCGATGATTGTGACGAGATCCATCTTTTCCTGAAATCAATGAGTCACAAACGAAGCATTCGTCATCGAGTATCCTGGAAAGGACTGGCCAGATCCAGAGATTCTAATCGTCCTCATGGTCGACTATCATCGCGTCCATGAGGAGTGAGGAGTCTTGGGATGGGATTACAAAACAAAGCTGAAGGGGCAAGTCATGGGAAACCATTCGGGGACAGCATGACTTGGGCCGGAGGACCTTCTTATGATGTCAAAACCTTTTATTTAATTTAACCATAAAAAAGACTACAAATCATGGATTGAAACTGAGCGAATTCCCTTTTGACCTGTGCGCTGTAGATGCGATGAAGTATAGCAAGCTAACCTGATGGGAACTAGCTTGCTGGTTATGTATCTGAATATGGACTAGCTCCGGAGTAGATAACGTGACCGGAGCCGATGTACCAGGTGGGAAGACTGATGACATTCATTTGAGATCCGGCTGAATAATGAACGACCAAGAGACTCCAGAACACTACGTAGTTGATGAAAGTATGTATGAGGCAATTTTTGAACATAATACTATGCCAAGACTCGAACCCGCCCTAAATTGTTCTGTATACCAACGCTGACTATCAACAGGACCCTCCAAAGCCGAACATGAGTGAAAGAGCCCCGGAGATAATATTCAGGTCAGGAAATGTTCCGGTCCGCTTTTTCAAAGCCTGCCGATGGTGTAGAAAGCAGAAGATGCGCTGTGATGCACGGACCCAAGTTCCCTGTTTCCGCTGCCGTTCGGCTGGTCGAGATTGTATTTTGGATCCGATGGAGGACGGGAGACGACGCAGCGAGCGTCGGAAGAAGACCGGAACCCCATCAACACGGTATGCACCTCCACAATTGGGTGTTCTCCTTTTGATCGGTCCTCAGCTTATATAATCGTATAGAGGACATGGGGTCACTTCCCCATGGGCTCACGGCAGTGGTCTGAACACGCCCGAATCAAGAGAGCGAGAATATTCGCCGGTCTCAGCAAGGGATACTGCCTTTCACGATGCCTCAATAGACTCCTTGCCGGGGCCTTCGGCTTTAGAAGACCTACGAGCGTATCAGACTGCTGACCAAACTGGACCGGAATCTCAGCAATTAAGCCCCAATGATATGATTGCCCCGGTTGGAGCAATGCATTCCATGTCAGTTAACCTGTTAGGGTCCAACAACGTAAGTCTGAATAGTTTGCAAAAGGTGTCATGACACGACTAAGCTAGGTAGATATTCATGGATAATCCAGCCAACGGTGACACGAAAGGCGACATAGTAACGCGAGGCATCGTGACTGAGGAGCGAGCTCGAGTTATGTATGAACGGTATGTTTACTCTGTACGAGGTCGGACTAGTACTTGGCTAGAAGTGTAGAGTGATACTCAACTTCTTCTGGCAGGTTCATGGGAGGAAGCAAGAATTTTCTGCCATTGTTCGACCCAATTCGAGACACCTTTGACTCCATCCGTTCACGGTCTGTATTTTGTTTCACAGTCATCATCTATCTTGCCAGTCGCGCTGTGACAGACTTGCGCAGCGACACACATTTGCAACGGGTGCTCCAAGATGAAGCGCAGCGACTGGCCGAGGATGGCTTCTTCGAACGACCTACGAAGCTTGAGGCGGTTCAAGGAATGATCCTACTGGCGGCATACTCTGAGAAGACATGGTTTTCCACGGCGCTCATCCTACGGACAGCTCTGGACTCCGGCTTAGAAAAGTCATTGGATACGTTGCTGACTCAAGAGAACGTTCCCCGGAGCTCCCTAGCTGCCTCTATGGCAGATCGTCAGTTGGTATGGCAGACTAGGACCTGGTTGATTAGCTTCACTCTGGAATTGGACGTAGCATCGGGCACGGGGCGTAAATCACGCATTGCGGAGGTGGATATTATGAAGTTGCGTAAATTCCTTGAGTATCCTCTCTCACTGCCATGCGATATGCGCACGGTCTGCATTATTGAGCTTCATCAACTTCGAGGTTTGGCGGCATTCTAGTTGGCCTTTTTGTTCTATAAACTGACCTGGCTGCAGGCCAGTCCCGGGTCATCATTGAGAACTCATCGACAATCGACCACATCGTCTCAACCGAACTGCCAGCTATCATGGCACGGTTGCAGAACTGGTGGACCACATGGGACGAGATTCACAACAGTATGCTCCCATTCTCTACACAGGACCTCAAAAGAATCATTCTGACCCCATTCTGCGTAAAGATAATGGATTTCATGCAGGAGCCTTTCAGCGCAGCAGTCTAAAACTCATGCTCAATTATGCTAGGATATTCGTTCTCTGCGCTTCGCTGACACGTATTCAGAAACTACAGTCGGCTGCTTCTGCCTCTGATTCTGAAACTATAGACCAGCGCGTTCTAAACCTATGGCAGTCCCTTGTGACCACGATCATGGACCTAATAGCATTCATCATCACAGAGCCGGCCTACCGCTGTCAATTACAATGGGCCCCGACGTACCCAGCGCTGTCGATCGCTTTTGTCAGTAAGTTGTCATCACCTGCTATGATTCCAGAGCACAGGTGTTGAATGGCGAGTCTAACAAATCAGCAACCTTTGCATTGCGCATCGCACGGTGGCGCCCAACTCTCATTGATCAGGATTTACTGCTGGAACGAGTACACCATATCTGCGAATTTCTTAAACAACCGCCGTATCCGGACATTCACCGCACAGTCTCCCTCTTTGTGAATTACGCCCGCGCTTTGATCGTGAGTCAGCGCCCACGAAGTCATGACAGTGCAGATGCACCCAATATGCCCGAGCATGGGGACGTGCAGGAACCTCTAATTGGGCGCCCTGATGCCCCCGAGGTTGCCATCCCTCCAACAGGGCTGGCTCCACTGGAAGATACCAGCTACAGACCCGGCGCGGCCTTCCCAAGTGATAAGGACACAAGTGCGGTATCGCTGCCAAGTAACGACAAAGCCGCGATATCTAGACCGCCTCTTTCCAGATTTGCTGCTACTATGGAAGCGCCCAACTGGGCCATGTCGAACCCCATTGCGGATTCATTTGGGCTGTTTGAGGAGGGCCAAAATGATCTATTTGACTTCTTGCCAGTGATGCCTTCTTTGCCACAATGATGCTTGCCTGCTTTTCTGTACGAGAGTTGAATTGACTAGTCTTCTACAAATACCATTGGGAGTGTCAAGGTAAATTTTTGTTCTGGAAGTATCTGAGTTTTTCGCTATGGGCCGGTGGACTGAAGCTTTAGAACTAGAGCTGGTAGAGCAAATCATGTTGTTGGGCAGGAACCCACTATGCCGTTGCGCCTGACGATCAACACAGACTAGATCCAGCAAGAAGAATCCCAAAGGGTAGAAACGCATGAGACTTCACAACGGAGGCGGACGTCGCCGGTCCTGGTCGGCGCCGCGTTACTATCCACCGGTCCCGATCCGGCCCCGGTTCCGATGCTGAAGTATAGACGCCGTTCATTGGTACATGATTATTCATAAAAAACCTGATGGCTTTGTGAGATATCGCACACTGGTCTAGTCTCATGGTCTAGCCTCTATGAGTCAATTTTCAGTGTATTTCTTGTTCCGTCCGGTAAGCCTAAGCGCCAAAGATGTTCACTTATATAGCCTTGGGTCTCCGACTTCCGAATGCGTTGGAATGGATTAACATAGCAAACTTGACTGGCATTCTCCATTACGTGTACCTGGTCTCTGATACTTTCTTATATCATACAAAATGACAAAGGGTACAGAGCAATCAGTGATTGTTCAAACTTCTATTGTCGGGAATTCAGGTACGTTTGGTCTTCCAGGACGTGGTTTTTCTCCCAGCCCTAACACGACACATAATAGGGAGAGATGACGAAGTGGAGGCTGGCCCTTCTAAAATTTCCAAGATGAGCAGCAATAGATCAGACGAGCATTACAAGCTGGTCGAGTTGTCGGACCATGAGATACTTGTTGAATTCAAAGAGGGGTCATCGGCGAACCCGAACAATTGGAATTTTGTATGTATTTTGTGTTTAGAATGTGCAGGGAAATTACCAATAGGACTAACAAGTGCCTCTTACTTTAGAATAAAAAGGTGTACAATGTTCTCATCGCGCTGTTTGTGGTTCTCAACAGCGGCGTATCGTCCTCTCTACCTAGCAATGCGGTTCCTGCTATCATGGAAGAGTTCCACCAGCAAGGTGACGGACAGAAGGTCTTACCAACAGCCATATTTCTTATCGGGTATGTTGTAGGTCCTCTAGCATTTAGCCCAATGAGTGAGACTATTGGTCGGAAGCCGGTCCTCACTTGGTCCTTTACTGTCTTTGTCCTGGCAACTCTCGCCTGTGCTTTGGCACCGAATTGGCCCTCACTCCTAGTCTTTCGAGCCATCTGTGGCACTATGGGTGCTGCACCGCAGACTGTAGTCGGTGGAGTATACGCGGATATGTTTTCGGACCTACGGAGCCGGGGACGGGTGATGGCCTTCTATATGTCGGTACGTCAAACAAGTAGAAGGCTTATCCGTTCTCCAATGTCGCTTTCTAACATAGATCGTAGGCCGCAAGCTTCGGTCCAATTGTTGGACCGATAATCTCTGGCTGCTCAGTCCAGTACGGCTGGCGATGGACCTTTCGCATTGACCTAATCTTTGCCGGTATTTCCTGGATAGGGCTTATGTTTATGTCAGGTATGGACATTCCAGTTCTGATAACACCTGTTCACCGTCATGTTGGGTAAACGCTGACACAGTTAACTGCAGAAACCTTTGCACCGGTCATCTTGAAACGCCAGGCTACCAGACTAAGAAAGGAGTCGGGGTGCAATTCTTATCTGTCTCGACAAGAGCTACAAAATGGAGGCTTCCGATACAGCACTACCCAGATCATCACGCGTCCGATCACTATGCTTCTCTTTGAGCCCATCATTCTGTTCACGGCCCTCTATATCTCTCTCGCGTATAGTCTGGTCTTCTTCTATTTCCAGGCGTATCCCATTATCTTTGAAGGTATTGTTCTCGAGCCCTTTTTCTCCCACTAACATTATTCAACCAAGTCAACAAATTTGTAATAAGCACACACTCACTCAATACCATAGGCACCTACAACTTCGACGTCCAAACCACATCCCTCACCTACATCCCCAGTAAGTAACCCCCAAACCACTCCCCCATACCACCCCAAACTAACCCAGACCCAAAAAAGTCGGCATCGGCGCCGGCTCCTCAGGCCTAATCTCTCTATACTACGACACCATCTACGAGAAAGCCAAAACAGCCGGAAAGTCCTGGACAACCAGCCCCGAACTGCACCGGCTCCCCGTATCCTGCATCGCCGGCCCCTGTCTCACAATCAGCCTATTCTGGCTCGGCTGGACCGCAAACCGCAACATCCACTGGATCGCACCGGTGCTCTCCGGCGTCCTCTTCGGCGTCGGCTACCAAATGATCTTTATCTCGCTGCTTACCTACGTCACAGACGCATACAAGATCTACTCCGCCAGCGCCCTCGCCGCATCGGTCATTATGCGGAGTATCGTGGGTGCGCTGTTCCCGCTTGCTGCGGATCCATTGTATTCGACTCTGGGTGTCGGGTGGGCTACCTCTGTCCTGGGGTTTGCTAGTCTGGCGTGTATTCCGATCCCGTTTGCGTTGCTTTATGCAGGGCCGTGGATTCGGAAGAGGAGTCCGTTTTGTCAGCGGTTGTTGGAGGAGGATTCTTTGAAGGAGAGGACAGAGAGGACCGTGGAGGGTGTTTAGTGTATGGGCTTGGATTGATGTTGTTGTTGATGACATGATGGCATGAGTTTGCATTTCTAGGGTTTTGGGTTTGCATTGCTGAGTGGCGTTTCTATTTTCTTTTTTTTTAATTAAAAGTTGATACTTGTTGTCGTAGATAGTGCTTAATCTCTAATATGGGTATTGAATGAAATGGCTTTAGGAAATTTGAGGACAATGTATCAAGAGCCCTCATTAGGAAACCGAGGAGGGTAAGCTTCTTTTTTTAGGCCGTTGCGAGAGAAGAGGCCCCAGCAACTGTAGAACACTGGACATTAGGATTCTGCGTCTCCCAGTTGGTGGAGGGGATGTCACTAGGATAGAGCCTACGAAATTGTTCCTGTTATCTTGGATGATCTGTGGGCTGCAGTTGAGACGGAGGTGTATATTACGAAGAGGATCGTGTAATTTGGTAGTTTTTTGGTTCGAGGAGGTAAATGGAGGTGAGTCTAGGGGTAGTTGATCAAGCATATGTGATGTCGAGTTTTATCGGGAATGCTTTTAAAACCGTCAATATAAGATATGCAAAAAGCGTGGAAAAAGAGTACGATACGAAGACGATCACGACAGACGGGATCGGTATTTGTGGACGAATATGGTATTGTATCACTGCCGTCAATCCTTCCAACACGTTGAGAATGATAGACTACCTTTATGTTTAGACATGGTTTGTAGGTCTATAATCCCAGAATGAGAATGTTGTACTCGGTATGGAGTTAGGGCTATGAAGGGGTCGTGACATTCATAGATGTGCAGGTATTCTAGACTATAAAATCAAATAAGAGAATATTTTACATCAATTCCTCGATGGTCTAACGGTCATGATTTCCGCTTGTCATCTCATACGAGAACAAGCGCGGGAGACCTGGGTTCGACTCCCAGTCGGGGAGATCTTTTTTTGCTCTTCCATTTATTGTTCCCCCACGCCAACTCTCTTTTTTCTCATGACTTGTTGCTACAAACGCATCGAAATCCACTTTACTCAATATCTCAAGGTATTGTTAATCAACATATTACAACGACATGTATGGATTCCGTCATTTTAGTGAGCCGTTGCAAGAAATTTCTTGGAACCCGCGTGAAGCACCAGTTCTATACGAAATATATAGTTGTTATGCGGATAGCTTTACACTACAGTGCACTAGCAGAAGCGTTTTGGATACCATAGTAAGTAGTCTTCTATATACTGCAAAAAGATGTAGGCAATCTCGAACTCAATTACTTCTTGTGTAGAGACTTGAGACTGAAATTGAGTGCAAGAGAGGGTTCATATAATAGAAGCTGGTAGGCAGACCCACTTGGGTTGCCGCAGGGCCCTAAGATTAGGGTTCTTTTCGTTTTATTCCTAGAGAATATAGACAATGCAGTGTACAACAACTAGTTCACCATCCACCATGTTTTTATTCAATCCATTGTGATTTGAATTCGTTTGAATCGCTCGTGTTGCATATTGAGAAGTCTTAACAATGCTTTCTCAGGAGAACAATGAATGGCGCAAGAGACCGGTGTCTGCATTCAAGCTCAAGAGTAAATATCGGTCAAGGTAATGTGAGTATGCCCAACAGATGAAACCTATCTCATGTATAATATATATGACAATAACTTACTGGGTCAATAAAAACACAAGTCGAATTGAGGTATCGTCCACATCTCCTAGCGCCGTCTGTGACTGTACCATATTCATCGAGTTGCAGAACTGGTCACTGGATGGTCGTGGATGGGTGCTTACTCCCCCTCGAATCGCGTGCCTGTTTGTACAAGTGTCACCTTCTGGATGATAACCAGTGGGGACTAACGACCGCAGAAGCCTACGTTGGATAGCTGACACGTCCAGAAGTGGAGTGTGGTAGTATCAACAATATCTTTGAGGATTCCTTTTTTTTTTTGGGAAGATCTACCCCGCGGCTTCAGCTCGGCCAAGCCTTCAGTTCAACTCCTCTGATGTCCGATTTGATGTGGGTCTGCTGTGCAGCGAGCTGGCCGCTAGCCGGAGACAAATCGGTCATTGTGCAGCTTAGCCGAACTTGTATATACCTCACTGGTTGATTTGGCCTGGTAGGTTGATCTTCTCACCCCTCCTCTGCGGCGGGGCAACTAGCTGCATGATCATCAAACAACTTCAGCTGAAGGAGGACTGCACTCAGCTGAGTCTTGGGGAAACACGGACAAAAACAAAACACCTTCGCTAGCACAGCTCGGGCATAAATACCGCTGATTTTCACTGCTTCTGTTTGATTATCCACCAACGATTTTATCTCTCTCTGAATAACTACCCGAAGACTTATTGTAAATCTCCCACAAATCCAATCATGGCAGACGACATAAGGCTTGATTACTTTCGTGAAAGTGATAAGGGTGTTGCTTTGAGATATGTCGCAACCTATCGGGAGAGAAAAGCAAGAAACCCTACTTTTGTTCCGGATGGTAAGTTGCAATAAGCACATCCATCCTTAGGTGTTTGTTGTCCTTTACTAATAGCCCAAAGCTCGAGCCGATGCGAAACCATTCAACGGAGGCTACACCCCCGAGGAGAGAGAACTATTTGATGCTGTCAGCGCGGTCTACGTGGATCTTCTGGAGGCCAGTGCAAATTACGACAATGGAAACGCAGATTTTAGCCGTAGGAACAGAGGCAGATATCGATACATGTACGCGAGATATATAATCTGTATAAAGTTGAATACGCTGACACCGGGTTACGATTTAGTATCGGGAGACGTACAGCAAACGACGTGGATGTAGTTATTGGTGTCGCCCGACATCCTGCTAAACCTCGCGGAGCTGTGGAATATGATAATTCCTTTGAGCTTTTTGTGCCCTTCCCACGTACGTTGCCTTGATGGCTCAAAACCGGAGGCTTTTTGCAACCTGTGCACCAATAATTTGGTATCTTGTGAATGATGACTTTTCTTTGAGAACAACAATCCCCTAACAGTTGAATAGTATAGAGTGTTCAAAACTAAACCAATGTGCAATTGACCTCGTTGTATATATAAAAGATGGACCTTGAATGCCTGCATCTGCAAATCGTTCATTGAACATTGCGATTTTCAATCACGGTAAATTCGCCAGATCGATCGACATGCCTCTGCTTGAGTTTCCAGATGTCCAAAGCCGTGGTCTTTACCAGGATCATTCCAAGTTCCCATCCTCCCCTAGTTCCTCCCCTTGCGACATTCCCTGGCTTCATATCGGATTTGGATTCTATTCACGGTACTCGGTCACCCTGGACTACATGTCTGGTCCGCTGTTTATTGCAAGGATTGTACCAGGTTTAAAAATGATCCGAAGATGAGTTCCACAGATAACGGGCAAAGACACATCTAGCAACCAAGAGGACATCAGAAATTCGGATGAAAGCTCGAAGAAAATGTACTAATAATCATATATGAACTTGAGCTAAGCTTGATTTAGTTTCAAGCTAAGATTCAGTAAGACTGAAAAGTAGTCGAGTTACATAAGGCTTTTCCATTGGCAAAGCATATGCCTCTCCCTTATACCAATGTACGATTAAAATCCTCAGATCCCTTCTGCTGGGACCCACATGAGCCAGAAAAAAGGTAAACAGGAAAACAAGTTGATGTTTAAAGTGTCACAAAACATTATTCCTTGTTACGCAAGTTGTATTGCTTTCCGGATCACCTCCAATCCTGTGGATTTCGGGTTAAAAGAAGAGAGCTGAGCGCCACATACGCACAGGTGGAACTATATTGTCCGGTTTCTTAAGGACCAAAAAGTTATTATTGCTTGACCAAACTCTTACAATGATAAATATCTTTTAAGATAAGTAGCAGTACTAGAGGCTCCGTATGTGACTACACTCTCAATCACACGCTCATCCATTCATAAACTCCACACGACCACTATGGAGCCCGCAAGAAGTTACGATATAATCATCATCGGGGCCGGCGTGGCCGGTATCAACACGGCCTATCGCATCCAGACCATGCTACCCAACTACTCATATGCCATTCTAGAAGCTCGAGACGTTGCCGGCGGTACCTGGGACCTGTTCCGGTACCCTGGAGTCCGACTCGACACTGATATCCACACGTTTGGATTCCCGTGGGAGCCATATCACACTGACACGATTATGCTGGATGGTACTTCCATTCGAGAATATATCAACAGTACCGCGAAGACACATAACATCGACCGTTGCATTCATTTCAACCATCGGCTTAAACAGCTGAATTGGGATTCCTACAAAAGCCAATGGGGTTTGACAGCTGTGCACCAAGACCGCGAGCCCCGTTTCAAGGCAAAATTCGTCATATTCGCCACAGGATACTTCGATTATGAGCGACCACTCCCAGCAGAAGTACCGGGTTTGAGCCGCTATAAAGGAGTGGTCGTACACCCGCAGTTCTGGCCTGAAGACCTTGATTACACCGGAAAGAAGATCGCTGTGATCGGCAGCGGGTCGACCGCAATATCACTGGTGCCCAAGCTCGCAGAGACAGCATCGGCGGTAACAATGATCCAGCGAAGTCCGAGCTACATTGTGCCTGTCCCTGACGGTGGAGACACATGGTTGACCCGACTTCTGCCTGCTACGGTATCGCACATGTTCAAGCGCTATAGGTTCATGGCGGCCATGCTTGCAAGCTATTACTTCTGTCGATACTTTCCCCGGCTCGCAAAGTTTATCTTGCTGAGGCTTGCAGGCAGTCAGCTGCCCGACCATGTTCCCCTGTCGCCTCATTTTGAACCTAAGTATGACCCCTGGGATCAGCGTCTGCTCGCATGCCCGGATGGGGATTTCTTCCGAGGTTTGCACACCGGCAAAACCAACATCGAGACAGCGAACATTAAGACCGTCACTGAGAGTAGTGTTGTTCTGGACAACGGCCACTCTGTCAACGCAGATATCATTGTCACTGCCACAGGGCTTCGGTTACAAATCGGGGGCGGAGCACAATTCGAATTGGACAGAAAGCCGTGCGATATTGCCGAGAAGGTCATGTGGAAAGGCATGATGC